TATCATTTAGCAAGAAACGAATAATTCATATTATATATCTGCTATGTCACTTATTGTTTTACCAAAGCGGTCGTGGCAGCTTAACTTAAGCACAATGAATGGATTGATGGCTTCTTCTGGGATGTTGCACCATGTAGTTCGGTAGATATTGACCATTGACCTGATGATTGTTGCTGTAATTTCCTCTGAAACGTCTGTCAATTTCTACTAGACTACATGGTGCAACATCTCAGAAGATCCCATATTCATGTCTGTCGCCGTGAGAACCTGAAATCTCACGGCGAAGAGACTGAAGATATTAGTTGATATGAAGTTATATTCTTTGTCTTGCGTATTAATTTTTTTAAAATTATGTAATTATCATTACTTTTATGCTAGTAGTTTGCACGACCTTATATGAAAAGAACAAGGCATGAGCCTAATTAAGTTTATTGAATTCGCTCCAGTCAGTCGATTTCAATGTCCACGCACAATATACACTGGTTTGGAGTCCAAATCTATTCCCTTATTAGTGTAAATCTTTCCAAGACACGTTTTATTTGTCATATTTTCAGAGACTTGCCTGGGTGTGCGAAGTAATTTGATATGTCTCATGTTCATTATGTTTGCTACAAGCCTCTTTACTACTTTACACTTTATTAGATATAATTAATTACTTTATTAACAACAGTCGCATAGATAAAGCAATATATAATAATTATGAAAGTATAAATTGGAATATAATAATAATATATTATTATTATTGGTGTGATGCTGAGGAATGTTTTAGAGTTACAATGCTAGTTTTTTTAGCCAGTTTACTGTAGTTTTAGCAATAATGAAAACGCATTATACCTCACAGATAAATTAATAAAATAGAGGGTGTGTATGTACATGTCACAATTTAATGTTTTTCAGGTATAATCCTCTTAACATTTTCACGAAATGTGATATTGCAGCAAATTTACAAATGTGAAACGTTTTTAGCAACATGGCCGTTTTTCACTGCGTAGTTCATTATGGAAAATGGACGACTGTCGTATCATCATTAGTAGTGAAGACACTCTTAGATGTTGATAATTGGAGCAGACGTTATCAAACCACTAGATTTTTCAAAATTAAAAATTAAAACATATTAATCCTAGATAACCGCCACGGTGGTCTAGCGGTCAGAACACTAGCCTTGTAAGCCTGGGGTCCCGGGTTCAATTCCCGGTGGTGCTCAAATTTATAACTTGTGTTGGGCAAGGCCGTGGTCTAGGCATCACGGAGTTTTCCTCCGGGGGCTTCCCCGGTTTCTCCGTGGCATCCCAACAATTACTCCATTCACACACAGAAGAAGGCAATGGCAAACCACTTCTGGATCATCTGCCAAGAACGTATATGAACAGGTCCCAGTCCGAGAAAAGGATCGAAGGATCCTGTTCATATGGACCTGTCGTCAGACAGAACACTACAAATAAATAAAATCCCAGATACATTAATTAGACTACATTTTAAAAGGTAAATAGATTAATGATAACAAAGGAGCGATCGTGAATTGATGTAATGAGGAGAAAGGAGGGAATGAGGGTTTTTTGGATGAATAAATGGATAGGCAGGTGAATAGATTGATGATATAGGTAAGGAAATAATAATAATTGAATTATTTATTATCAGTGTGCTGTTCCAACAGTCAGATAGCCAATTACAGATACAGTAAAAGAATAATATAATAAATACAATAAAATAACAATAATCAAAGTATCAAGTAATTGTGTGACTAACACACGAAGGCAACAAGGAAAGAAGTATTCAAAAATACACAGCGTCTAACTAATTGCTTACTTCGTAATTCAATATCTCTGTAATGTTAATTCAATTCAGATCATTTTAAGGTGAGAAGGTCAAGAAGATGTCTATAACCAAAGGCGGGTGATAAGTTGTGTGTGTGTGTGTGGGGGGGGGGGGGGTTGCAATGCGTCTATGCGTTGCCTGTGATCGAGAAGACACCGAAGAGACCGCGCTTTCAGTCAAAACGTGGAGTGTTGAAACCACCCATGAGAATAACTCAAAAATTTTGTGGATCCAAATTATGTTCTAAAACTTGAAAGTAATTAGTAGTAACTTTAGGTTAGTGTCAGGGGCGAAGTAATGGTTGCTTGTGGGTAAATTTAATAATACATGAGTGGGGATTTCGACCCGTGCACATTCGTCGTAAGATTCTAAACCGTGTCTGCGTTTACAGGAACAAACTGTGGGGTTGGAAGCTATTAACACTCCACCTCCACGTGTCTCATTAGTACATACCCTATCAGAACGGAAAACTGAGTAACCGTTGGGAAATGAATTGTGATCGTAATACAAGTCGTTAAGCCATATCTCGTTTAAGTATGTTATATTCTGATCTTTGGACCAGACGTTATCACATAGTTCAAGTTGCTTGGTGCTGAGACCCCTAACATTTTGTAATAAATGTCTAATGAATTGATTGGCTGAGTGTCTGACATAGAAAAACCACTTGTGTTTAATTTACAAATATGAGTCATTAACTAAGCACAACAGCGCAATCTGATGTCAATCAGAATTTGCAGAAACGCCTATTGGGTTCAGAGTTGATACCCTAGCACCAGAAGAATCGACATGAAGCAAGTTGTGGCAGTATAGATCTGATTCGAGATAAGTCATCCTTGATATGGGGCGATTAAACAGCCATCAGGCCGTACAACGGTGTTATTTGTAAGATGAAAGCCCATTGCAACTGAAATATAAAATAAGTTTAATAAATTAATTTTATTTTTAACCTAGTGCATGTGAGCGATGTATACTTCATTTGCTCGGTAAACAATTCTTCAGTGGCTGCAGAAGTAACGTCAGGAGAGAAACGCGAGACAAAAAATGGCGTGATAGGATTTGAAGTTCTCGCGGCGATTACTGCTTAGATGGCCGTCTTCTGGGTTATAGTGTCGTAGTGTGGTAGTTTGTAACGCTTCGTCGGTCCTTGCCGCCTCCATCATCAGGGCGATCATCAGGTAGCAAGGACTGCACGAAAAGTGAGTTAGGTCTCACTCTTTTTGCTTTTTATTGAAAGGGACGAAGAATTTTTCAACCCAATCATTGGGGGACGTAATAGGATGCTTTCCATTTAAGACGGTCGCTGGGCGACACAATGGCAGTAAAAACAGGCGTGGGCCCCTGAACACGACCAGATGACAGCGCAGTGGATTTTATCTACGTTGTCCTTGAGAGCTATCGATGACGTCACTTTCCGCTATGACAAGTTTTCCTGCTCACTTGATTGCAGACTAGGTCGGATCGTCGTATGTTTTGCATTTTAATTTTCAAAGATTCGTTATCTCTACGAAACTGGCCAACTTGGTCGGGTGATTTGAGAACCATTTCAATAAGGTTCTCAAACATATTTATGGCGCAAACACCATTTAATCCTACAACCTGAAGCTGTGCGTTGAGCGATGTTTCCTTTGAGTTGAGAAAGAATTTCTCTGGCAGGGGACGCCATTTTTATACAAATTGAAGAAGCCGGTATCGGTCTGAAAGAATGAATGCAAGTGTTTCCAGACCTCAGTAACAGCAATTTTTCTCACAAAAGTCTCACTCTTGTAGGTGGACTCGCCGTTTGCACTATAAAAGGAATGCTTGGCATCACTCACCTTTGGGCAACCCTATAGAGCAAGGTCTGCTACAGTGTAGAAACGTTTTCCCCATAGAATACTTTCTACAGACATCGACACACAACCATACTGGCAGCCATGCCAATAAATCAAAGCCCTGCTGATTGAGGCAGCAGTCGCCTCTGAAACTTCGTTAAACTTCTACCAGACCACACGGCGCTACAACCCAGAAGACAGTCATTTCCTACTTACCATAATCATCTGAGAATATCAGCACAAATTTGATTGAATTCGACAAAATCACAGATTCAGAACTTTCTGTTGCGTACTCAACACCAGAATCTTTGCTGGGTTCCTACATTTCATTCATAATTTCAACGAGCTGATTAAAACTGGAAAAGGATCTAATGGGCCGTTTCGAATTCATGAAGTCATATTCAGAGCCATCGTCATAAATTAAGAAGGCGTGGGCCTTCGCTACATTTCAACACAGAATACGAGATTAATCTCACTTTGACAGTCTGCATATCCATAACAGAGCGATGTTCTTCATGAAAGAAACTCAACTTTATAATGTCACTCTGAATGATACATTTCCCCGTCTTTGAACATTGTAAGATCAATGCATGATTTTGTTGCCAAGCTTTCGTGTATTTTAACCGTTTATGTAATGTTATGCACTGTTGTTACATACTATGAGTATATATATATCGTACCAGTCCAGTGGTTCTAAACCCGCAGCCTGCTAACATGTATTGTACGACCCACGTGCATTCTTATATCCTGTATAATGAAAAAATCATTTCCAGAAAAGTTAAATATTTAATTGAATAATTAATAAGAAATAAATATAAACTAGGTGCCACGGTGGTCTAGCGGTTAGAACGCTGGCCTTGTAATCCTGGTGTCTCGGGTTCGATTCCCGGCGGTGCCCGAATTTATAACTTGTGTTGGGCAAGGCCGTGGTCTAGGCAACACGGAGTTTTCCTCCGGGGGCTTCCCCGGTTTCTCCGTGGCATCCCAACAATTACTCCATTCACACACAGAAGAAGGCAATGGCAAACCACTTCTGGATCATCTGCCAAGAACGTATATGAACAGGTCCCAGTCCGAGAAAAGGATCGAAGGATTCTGTTCATATGGACCTGTCGTCAGACAGAACACTAATAATAATAATAATAATAAATATAAACTAATTCATTAAAGAGAATTGCTGACTCATAGTTTGCAGCGTTTTAAATAACCATGCGATAAACGATGAATGTGGCGCTGTAGTAAAGCAAAATTCAGTACTAAGTCCGCCTGTATAATGTGATCACACAGTTTGAATATATCTCTGTAGATGGCAGTGTGTACATGAACACTAGCGCCAATATGGTGCAACTATTATAAAATATTTTCGCAGTAGCACAGGGAGCTACGCGAACTGTTGGAATCAGTAACGAGTAGTCGGGAATGCCAGGCGGGATAGTAGGAGAGGCAGACGGTGATAATCAGCATAGAGGTATGATTTTTTGTTGGTTTTTTAACTATTACGAGAACAAGTTTTGTTATCAATATGTGATTGCTTCATGTTGCTTTAGTAACTTTTCGTTTCGTCTGCGTTACATACGTTTTCTTGGTTGGAAAGTAGGTTAACCAACGATAGAAGTAGAACAAGGGTACTGCTTTTATCATTCCTCTCTTTGACGTCACTTAGGGTAATAGTAGGGTGACTATTACTGCATGGCAACAGATCGCCATCAGTTATCAAGGCTCAGCTGTAGATTATGTCGTCACGCGTACAATACAGCTTACTGCCCCAGAGTATTGTTCAAAAGGCGATAAGAACAAAATATACAACTGCAATAACGAAATAATTTTCATCAAATTGTTAATTTCTATTATGTACTCTTCGAGATATACTTACTAACAAAACTTGTGTTTTATCGCCACACGGATTGTTTGGTAAGAAGTATATATACGTGTCCTATTCTCATTAAAGTGATGCCATAAAGGTTCAATAAAGGTATGGACAGCCTTCCAGCAGACGTCTTTCTCGGCGCGAGGTTTGAAAAATGAAAGTTCAACATGGCTGTGCCTTTATTGCGTGCTAGGGTAGAAACACGTATTTCTTGATTACAATCACACTGTCAAATATTATTATGTAAACACTACGAAAACTTTAAAATAGAATGATTGTAATATGAAAGTTTGTTTTTTTTTCCTCGTCGAATATATTACCTACTCTGTCTGCAGGTTCTTCTAGGTAGAAAGTTTCTCATTCTTTCACGTGTATGTATGATTGATCTCGAACCATGAAAACAGTACAATAGACTATTTTTGAGTAGATGTGTCTTCATTATTCTTTTTCTTTCTTGTCCTTTACTTTTTCAGTGGTTCATTACATTGTCGTCGTTGATCTGGATTGTAACAGCGTGCGAACTTTTATATAGGTACCAACGTTTTTGATAAACATGCTGCCTTCATCTTCGGTGCTGAACAGTGTGTTTCTCCCAATATTTTTGTCTACCTTCAACCCCACATGGCTTTACAACCCCGAAGACCGTCATCGACATTCTTAGATAAGTTCGGGGAAGGGCAGCTAAAATTATTCAAAATTATATAAACGGAAAACAAGCTGCCTCTTAAGTGTAATTTGAGGTTCTCACGGCGATGAGTACGAAGATGGCTGTCTTCTAGGTTGTGGCGCCATGTAGTCTGGTAGAAGTTCCTTGCTACCTTCATCATCAGGCGATTATGGCCTTTTCCTGTAATTTTCTTTGCCATCACTTTTGTGTCCCCCTTTTGAGGTAAATTTTAATTTGTTTTCAGGATCGGTGAATTTAAATAAAGGCCCGTTGTCATTTAACCAAGATTCTGTTTGGACAGGTTTTGCTATACAAAAATTGACCTCTAACATTTCCCGCGATTTAGATGCAAGGCACTGATATAAGTAATTTAACTATTTAAAGCCGAGTGGTAAATAAATATATTTAGTTTGCTTTAACATCAGCAACGCTGCATTATGTTTTATGTGTCTCTTACGATTCTTGCTGTAAACAGCCATTATTTTTTAAACAACATTAACCAGTTGATCATTGTAAAGGTGAAGCATTGTTTTCTTTGTAGTACGGGCTGGATTCTTACGTACTATTTAGACGAGCTTCGGTTTCAAAGGGTTGATGATATTTTGTTGTATATGTGGCTATTATTGTAAAACGACTTTAAGCGTTAAATTATTATGTAGATTTGTGAAGTAGCATTACTGCCATAACCATGTCAAGAGGCCTTTGAAATAAGGAATCCCAATATTTTACACTGACAATGCTCCGCCTCTCAGTCAAATCAATGTGTAGTTGTCATGACAACCGTTGCCATAGTGGCAAACAAGGTTCGGTGCTTGCCTCTCTTTTGCGCTAATTTTCTCTCTCTCTCTCCTTCTCCAACAATTCCTCTCCCACACGCCTACCCAAATCTCAATTTCAAAAGGTTTTTAGGGACCAGGGGGGTAATATTAAAGGATCAATATACCAGGACGAACGGAGGCGAGCTGCAGCGAGTATACACGAACGAACACGTCAATAGGGCTGGAATTGGATTTAGCAAAAGGGTGGTTCTTGGGGTTCAGATTTTCGAAATTTACCTGTGTGGTACCTATTTGCGTTTGTTAGAAACGCTTTGCAAGTGGGGCTATTCTAGACCTTGGCCAAAGATGGAACTGTTGAAATCGTCTTTCCTAAACGCTTAATACAAACATACGTTCAACTTTTTGCACCAGTGATCATTTGCAAATTGAAAGGAAATGATCTAACGATATTATAATGAAGACTGGTCCTCCCATATTACGTAAGCTTGCTGAAAAGGAAAGAAGACCTTGCATGTGTATCGATGTGGTTGTACGAGTATTAGAAGCAGGCCATGCCTCGCTCCGAGCAATGGATCGATGTGGCTAGGAAGGCAAGGCGGGTGGCCTAACCAACACTCCTCGCCAAACTGTGTTGCATACTGGTTCAATATGTGGGCGGGTTGAACTCGGAACCATACTCTATGATTAAGAAGGATTTGAGGTTTTCACTGCGGTGAGTCTGAAGAAGACTGTCTTCTGGGTTGTTGCGCCGTGTAGCCTGGTAGAAGTTTACCGACGTTTCGGAGGTCCTTGCAGCCTCCATAATTGCGCTGATGATGGAGGCATCAAAGACCTCTGAAACGTCGATTAACTTCTACCAGACTACACGGCGCAACAAATCAGAAGACCGCCATCTTCATATTCTGTGATATTTTCACATCGAACGACACATTTTACTTCCTTCACTTTTCTGTAGACGCATTGTCTATGAATGCTTCCGCAGGTTAAGAAGTCAAACATTTACCTCTCGGAACTTTCCCAAGCAGATCTTGAAAATCGTAAACTACACTTTCTCATTTTACTTGAAGCATATTTTGTCCTTGGTCGGGGCAACCTAGCCTGTAGAGGCAGCCACCAAGTCAGCCAGCAAGCAACAGTGTGCCTAAGAATAGCGAGATATTATGACGTCACGACTGGCGGTGAGCTGTACGTATATTGACGAGAGGCTGTGCCGTCGTCACCACCAACATCCCCATAACCACCGCGCCCCTTTCACCTCACCTTACTCAGCTCGACATACTCTAGGCCACCCACAAATGTCCGAAGTCTATATGCTACAGGCTAAATAAATAGGTGTTCTAATAGGAATGTCATCTTGACGTCAGACAACACATGGGGGTGAAACTATAAACGAGGAACAATATGACGCAGCAACTCATTAGTCGTTGTTTTATAAACTCCCGGAATATTAAATGTATTCCTTTCGTGAAGCGGTTGAAGGTTCTAGAAAACCCCCCTTATGTTTAAAAGTTTTGTTTCAGTTCGCAAGCCACTCCTTATGTTCATGCCAATTTGTGATATGAAATCAACTATGTAATTTAGATTATAATTAAACGTAATTGGTGCATTTGATGTAACGCCATACTGATATGAGAATATTTTCATTCGGATAATGAGAAGTATTTCAGGTTGTTCATATTTTTATTGCAATTATGAAGTATGGAGATAAACATTTTCGGTTTTCTGTTCATTGTAATGAATATTTACTACTATCATATATAAATATATTTGCTTCACCATTTGCATTTAAATTATTGCCGATGTATATGCTGTCCGGCATAGCGACACACCAATTTTTTACACGAGGAAGAATTTGTAGTCTAGCCTCTCGCAGGGTGAAACACAATTGTGAATAGATATTTCTTCATTCTAAATCCCGTAACTCATTCCAAACAGTGTTCCTGTTATATAATAACAGGGATTAGCAAACTATAATTTTGTAATAATTTTAAACACTGTGTTGATAATAATTTAACAATTATATACACTGTAAGTTTTGTTTGTTTTTTCTACTTCCAGGAGAGGGAAAATTCCGTAATGCCTAGATTGTACGTCATATTTGCCGATGTCTGCGCATGTGCATTCCCCTGGATAGAGGCTAGCAGAGTACTGCTAGTATCCAGTACAGGTGCGTTGAACTGGTTGGTTTGGTGTTGTAGTATCATTCTGAAGAAAAATTATTAATATGACCTACTGTTGAAACAGAATTTGGCATGTGGTTACAGTAATTATGATATTAATATGAAACATTTTGAAACAGTCTAAATAATTACGTTCATGTTGATCGCACCGTTGTGTACTACCAACATTTAACCCGGGCTATCCGAAATTGTTGTTTAATGAAAATATATGGAATATTAACAATAATTGCACAATAAAATTGCTGTGATAGTGTCAGAATACATCCCTTTTAGACGTATAGCTTGAAGTGATGTAAAAGTAAGTGGGAATTAGTGCATTATATTCAGTTTGGCGCTGAACTAGCATATTGTACTTGCCTTTCCTTCGTCAACTGATATTTGTGTGATCTTATTGACATAACCTTACTCATTGCAGAGAGATGAAGTGTTGGCATTCACGTACTTTGATATCGCACTTAGCAGGTTGAGAATTTTCACAGCGGTCGAACGGTAGGTGTGTTGAATTTTAATTCAATATTTATGGCAGTTTCATATTTTCAATTCCAGTAAATGAAATACATGTTTGATTATTCTTTTAGGTAGGTGAACGTACGTAGTAAACAGGCATGCAGAACACTGAAGGTATGGACTCTCATGAACCTGTTACATGCTCTGATAATTTAATATCAAACCTTGAATGCTTATCTTCTCAAGAAATAATTACATCTAGTAAAGAGTCAGGAGCCAAAATTGCAGAAGCAGATGATCATGACACTGAACTTCAAGGTATTTCAAAAAAAGAAAGGGAACAGGGTGGATGTCATTCAAGTAATGTGGACTCCAGACAAGTGACACATAGTTCAACATTAGAGTCTTTGAAAGCTAAAGTTCTTTCAAATCGTTCTAAACAGACATTGAGGTCTATAGGAAAACATGTGTCTGATTCATGTTCAAGTGCTAATGAGACTATAAAGAATGATGGTAATGAAGATTTCCTCCCAAGTCTGACAAATCTAGCAGACATCTCACAGCTAGAAGAGGACTCAATAGTTGAAAGCTCTTTATGTGAGACATCAGGTGGTGTTGAAAGCCAGGAGGAGATACTTGAATCAAATGACCGTTCAGATGGCAGCGATTCAGGTCTGGGCTCGGACCTGGCAGAAGAGAGGGGTGCTCCAGTAGATTCACTGTCATCTGGTTCGGCAGATGAGTCTGGTAGTACAGCAGTAGGTGGCCAGGCTGATATCGAAGAGGGCGCAGCCAGCAGTGGTAGCGATAGTGAAGTTCATTTCCTAGACAGGATTCAAGATAATCTACCTGAATCCAGCAAGGATCTTGGAAGATCTGTAAATACACTTGAAATACAAACAAATGTACTTGAAACAAATTCAGATGTAGTTGAGACTCTGGGTGGTAATCATCAAATTACATCAGATCATGTACTGAGTAACTATGAACATTCAGACTTTGCAGCAGTCAGTCTGAAGAAAAAGTCTGTTCAAGGAGAAGTGTCAGAAAGTTACTTTGAATTACCAGGCATCAGCTCCTCCGAACCATCAGACATACAGCAAGTTGCCATGGGTTTAAGCTATTCATCCTCACAGTCACACTCTTCAGTAGAGGAAGATGCAGATTTAGGATCAATCCTGGATGGAACGCCTGCATCTCACAGATCGATTCCAATGCAGAGTAATCTGAAACGTCACCTCCCATTTGATGATCAAGATGGTCCTCAGTCCAAGAGAAAGAAATCCATCAATTTTGATAAGGTGACAGTGTTCTACTTTCCACGTGCTCAGGGCTTCACATGTGTTCCATCACAGGGTGGTTCCACATTGGGCATGGCATCTCAACATGCTCATGTTCAGCAGTTCTCTATATCAGAACATGCCGTCGAGCAGCGACGACTCCATCGACAGGTAAGCCCCAAATTAATTTTGAATTAAAAATAATAATCGTAGTTACCCAACAGAAATTGTGCTGAGTTGAACAGGAAAGTATTTGAGTACTTCAAAAATATAATTATCTACATTACAAGATAGGAAAGTACTCTAAAGAAACAATACTAGCGAACCAAACTTAATGTGGCATAACAAATTTAATCCAAAAAGGAGAATTTGTTGTATAGTGTAAACAACTGCTCCAAATCCTTAACACAGTGTTGGCATCCCTGAATAACAAATTATGTAAGAGACGAATGAAAACAGCATTATTACAGGGACCTGTAATCTGAATGTTTATGTGCATGTTTGTACACAGTAAAATTTAATATTTACAGTTCTTCAGTCCTACATGAAATTATTGGGCTTTCTTAGCTTAGAATATTAAAGTTAATGAAAATAACAGTAGTATTGGACTTTTAAGCACAAGAAACTCCCAGATTTGGGCTCATCATGTCTGTTGACTAGCAAATATAAAAAATATTAGACACTAAAAATACCAGTTTTTAAATAAGAGAAATTACAATGTGCAACTAAACTTATCCAAACTTCACCTAATCCACAAAGACACAAATAAAAGCCCATCTATAGTATGTGGTTTTACTAATACATTCATTCATATTAATATATATTCCATGGATCTGAATCTTAGAATGACAATAGCACATGGAATATGTCATAAAGATACAAAACATACAGACATTTACAATTCAAAGTATTATAAAAATTTCACCTAAAAGGTTTCAGACATCATATATGAATGTTACACTAAATCCATACGTAAACAGTAGAAATATAATGACAAAAAAGACTTTCGAAAGATTGTGTAATTTTTAAACATTATAAATTCATCAACCAATAATGTGGAGAGTGTGTTTAAGTACCTTTTTAATTCTGCTTTAGATTGTGCCTTTTTATTCATAAGACTTTTGAGACTAAATGATAGGCTTTGATATTCTGATGCCATGATAGTATGAACTTTTTTCTAAACATAAAGGGTTGGCAGTTGGTCCTTATTCCTGATTTTTAACACTATGTGTAGCTGAAGATGTTATTAATGTTCATCAGTGAATATGGAAGAGGTAAAATATAAGCTCCTTTAAATAGACTTCTACATGGATTTTTGGCTTTGGCATTTTACTGTGAGATGAATTACCCCAAAAAGTTATTGCATATTTCATTACAGAGTGAAAATAGACAAAATTAATTGATTTGAGTTTCAGTGTTGCTGATATGAAACATCTAACTATATAACATGCTCTACTTTAACTTATGAATCATTTGATCAAGATGATCCTTCCAGTTTAAGTTGTTATTAATTTATAAAGCACTGATTTTTTTAATTATTGACTTGTTTATGTACTCTTCATTGTAACCAACACTTAATGCATATTGTGGTGAATTATTTGTTAAAAGTTTTAATGTGTTAGTTTATCTAGATTTAGGGTCAGCTTGTTAGCAGTAAACCATTTATTCAACTATGTCTTAACTTACAGAAATCATAAAAATTGTTGTTAGAAATTATTACACTAATGCCATCAGTGAATATGAGTCGTGATAAGGTACTTTTGTTGGATGAAGGTCATTATGTAAAGCAAAGCCCTAGAATTGTCCCTTGAGGAACTCCATGTTATATTCTTCCCCACGCTGAGAAAAAGTTAGCAAAACTAATATCAACATCATCAGGGTAGCTTTTGTTGGGAATCATACACTTTCATTTAGCGGTTCTGCTGTTCAAAAATATTTCCTTGAGCTAGTACTGCATAAGACTCAAAATTATTTAATTTCAACTAGCACTTTAGTATTTAAATGAATAAGTAAATTTCACACAGAATAAACTCTTTACTTTTTATGTTTATCATTGGTCATCAATATAACATAAATGGCAGTTCACTGAAACTTTAATAATAATGTCTTCATATAATAATTTGTATTGTTGTCAATTTTATAAATTCAGAAATAAAACTTTTGAGAGATTGATACGATTGGTAGTATCGATAGCTCCCAGCTCTGAAATGTTGCATTGTGTTTGTTCAGTCTGAAAAGTGTGTAGTTATGATGAGTGGATCAGAGTACAGAAAGACAGCTAAAGACAAATTAACAATAAATATTACGCAGTCATTACATTTTAACACCATCAATGCCAGGAAGGTTAAAGATGAGCATGTTATTTAAAATATAGCCCCAGTTATTATGTCTGGTTCAGAAGAAGTGTTTAAAAAATCCAATTAAAATAGCTCTGTTTCATTATGTAACAATATTATTTAATTATTTAATTTTTATTTTTTTAAATTATCAGAAGTGAAATTTTTCTGACAGCTGCATTGACGTAAAATAATTCCATGTTTCTTGCTTAAAGCAGTAAGTCAACACAGTAAATCTTTGAGTGCATTTTTTCCCTCCCCATTGTATTATGAGGTTATAAGCTGTGGCTTATTTAGCTTACTTGTAAGTCTGACTGTGCTTTTGATACATAATGTTTGTTTGCTTCTTATTGACTAGGGAGGTCCTGAAATAATTGTTCTTAGCACAATTTAGAATAGTAAATGATAGTGTGGTAGCTCTTCAAAATGGTGGTGCACAGAATGCTTAACTTTTGTGCACATATAATTGTTTCAAGTAGCATTAGAGAAATGCTTAAATACACACTCCTTTTACTCTGTTTATTAATTTCTGATGTTTACAAATAAGTCATAATGAACATTAAGGTTTTCATGTCTTCATATAATGTAAATGGATAGCATGATTTATCTACTATATATAAAATGGGTGGATTTATTTGTAACATGCCACTATATGGGAACTCCTTTTCTTATATTACGCGAAAGCTTCATAATAGTATGAATTTTACTTGTACGAGGGTCGCTCATTAAGTAATGCCCCACATTTTTTTTCTCAGCCAATAATGAAGATAGAAAAGTGTACTTTTACATGCTTGAGATTTTATGTTTCCCGCGTTCGTGTACGGAGTTTCAAATGATTCCAACCGATAGCGGAGCTGTAGTGAACTGTTAAAATGGCGTCTGTGAACGACTCTCGTTACAAGCAACGAGCTGTAATTGAATTCCTTGTTGCTGAAAAAGAAACGGTGGTGAACATTCATAAACGTTTGTGTGCTGTGTATGGAAGCTGTGCAGTCGATAGGAGCACCGTTGGTCGCTGGGCTAAGAGAGTTAAAGCTTCAGGAGGTGAAGAAACCGAGCTCCGTGATCTGCCGCGCTCTGGGCGTCCTGCCACAGCCACCACTCCAGACATGTTGAACCGCGCGGATGCCATTATTCGTGAGGATCGGCGCATCACAACTCGACAATTGGCCCAACAGCTTTCAGTCAGCAATGGAAGTGTGATTGCAATTATCCGGGCTCTTGCATATTCGAAGGTGTGCGCAAGATGGGTTCCACGAAGTCTCACAGCAGACCACAGGATTCAAAGGAAAACGATTTCTTCTGAATTGTTGGAGCGTTTTGATGCTGAGGGAGAGGTCTTTCTGTCCCGGATCATTACAGGTGACGAAACCTGGATACACCACTTTGAGCCAGAGACAAAAAGGCAGTCAATGGAGTGGCATCATCCTCAATCACCGAGAAAGAAGAAATTCAAGTCAACTCCCTCCGCCGGAAAAGTCATGATGACTGTCTTTTGGGACAGTGATGGGGTCATTCTTGTGGATGTGATGCCAAGAGGTGCGACCATCAATTCAGACGCGTACATCAGGACCCTGAAAACCCTCAAGAAGCGTTTTCGACGAGTTCGGCCTCACAAGCATCCAGCAGAAATTTTGCTCCTGCACGACAATGCACGCCCTCACACAAGTCTGAGAACCCGGGAAGAAATCACCAAATTGGGTTGGACGGTGCTACCCCATCCCCCCTACAGTCCAGATCTGGCACCCTCCGACTTCCATCTCTTTGGGCCCCTTAAAGATGCTATCCGCGGAACAAGATTTGAAGATGACGAGAGCGTGATTCAAGCAGTGAGGACATGGCTACGTGCACAGGACAAGAGCTGGTACCGGCAAGGCATGCATGCCCTTGTTCCACGCTGGCGTAAAACCGTACAAGTTGATGGGGACTATGTGGAAAAATAGTATGTGTAAAGGAAACATTGATTTATATTGTCACTAAATTTGAGCCATCTTGAATAAATATGTTCTGAGGAAAAAAATGTGGGGCATTACTTAATGAGCGACCCTCGTATATATGTATTGTATTATTATGACTTATTCCATATCCTTTTGTCTTCTGACTAAATTACAGATCCATGGAATGTAATAAAGATGTATGTGTGTTACTAACTCATCTAAAAGCATCCAGACTAATGAATGCTAACCCAAGTAACATTAAACCAAGCCATATAAAACAGGAAGGAACACAGTCAAACACAGTTTGAAAATGTCACGCTAACAGATAGCTTTCACGCTGCGTTTGCACCATTGAGCTCTGTGATATGTCACAAGGGCAGATATAAAACCAGGAAGGGGAAATAATATATGATGTCATTGGAGGTGGGTGTGTGTGTTTGTGTGAACAGCAGTAACAGTCTTGCAAGTTGCTTGGAAATAGAACTTCAGTCTTACTGAATTCTTAATTATGATAACTTCACCAGAATACAATTGTATTCTTCCTGTTGGTGCTGCTCTAAATAAATTGTTAATCCAGAATTTACATACTTATTATTTTACTATTTTTCTCCTCTTCAAGCACAAATATTTATTCTGTCCAGAACTGCCCATATATAGGAGTTAAGCTGTTGAAGCCAAAGTTCATTTAAATAACATTTAAAAATCCAATTTTTACCTCAAGGTAAACATAACATGTCTCCATTACAAAAGGTCATTTGGTTTATTCTTTGCTATGATAATCGTATGAATCCCATAAGTACACCATTGACAAAATACAGAATTATTTATTTTTAAAGAAGGTGGCACATATGATTGCTACTGACTTTTATAGAATTAAAACAGTTTAGATTGTAGGCAAGCTATAAGTAAAGGATCATAATTTTACTGTTGATTCAAACCATGTAACATTATTTCTGTTGTATGTTTGATTGGCTTCTGTTAAGGGATATGGAGTTTATGTCTTTGTATTGTGTGTGTTCTTAGTAAGTTATAATAATTTACTCACCATTCCTTTCTATTGTTGTTGTTGTTTCTTGGCTCTATAACTCAGCTGTGGGTTTTTACCGCCTCCTTTTCGGAGGTTTTCTGATCTTTGAAGTGTGCATTTGTGAGAAGTGAGTGACCAACCCACTGACTGCACAATTTCTACTTAATCCTGATTTGATTGCTAGACCCATCTGGTAGTGAATGAGGAGAGACTTGGGTGAGAAATGGCTGCTGAATTTTACTTACAAAACATCTTGTTCGTGATTGTAAGGTTCTTTTACATGCCTTAAATCTACGACATGAGACCGCCAGCTTTACTTTCCGTCCGAAGGAAGTTGTGCTACAAATTTTTATCACCCTTAAAAATCCATTTGACCTCAGCCGAGTTTGAACCTGTGAACCTTGGATCCAGTGGTAAGCATGCTAACCAGTAGTCTAATTCTAGTGTGCCAAAAAGAAAAGAAAGAGTATCCTGAGTGTGCCACAAGCACCAGAAGTTGAGAGCCACTGGTCTAGATGAATGCCAGCATAAAACTTTGAAATAGGCAGTTACTGTCTTCTTACCGATCATTCATGATCCCATTTCACTTGATGCTATATAACCTTTACAGTCACAAAACAAGCTTAAAAGCAATGCTGCTTTCTCATCATCTCTTAAGGGTACTTTAAAATAGTCTATGACAGTGTACTTTATTTATTTTATTCTACCTTAGTCTTCCTAATGTTTCTTACAAACAATTAAGTAAATGTAAGATTTGAGGTTTTCACAGCGGTGAATATGAAGATTTCTGTCTTCTGAGTTGTTGCGCTGTGTAGTCTTGTCGATGTTAACCAACGTTTCAGAGGTCATACTGCCTCCATCATCAGGGCGGTGAATATCATATTCATCGCCCTGATGATGGGGGCAGTATGACCTCCAAAACTTTGGTTAACATCAACCAGACTACACAGCGCAACAACCAGAAGACAGAAATCTTCAATTAAGTAAATGACTGTGGTAATAAATATTTAAATTCACCACTACATTACCTTTGTATTTGACACAGTGGTATTAAATAAACTGAGAAATGGCATGGGAAATTACATACCATTGTGTGTCATGTAAATATGTGCATGCAGAATAAGAAGTTCATACTTTAAACAATTCACATTTGTCCTTGACATTGAAAGCATTAAATTAACTGGAGCAGTATGTGTGCTGAAAGAAGATATGTCAACAGAAGACTAGATAGTAAAATGACAAGTATAATACAATGTAAAACATTAATCTGACATTGCAATGCCCTTAATTTTAACATGCAAAAGAATAAGTATATAAAAAATTTGGCTATGCTGGCCCTTGATTATACAGGTATAAGATAGTGGTTTTTAGGGTATTTCATCCTATCTTGGTTCTTCTAATCCCCCCAGGAAAAATCCTGCATAGTGCTTCTATACAAGTGGTGGCCTCTTCAAATTATGACCATTTAATTTGTCATCAGATGACCAAATAGCAGTATTACAAACCTAAAAGAAAATGGCTAAATAGACTTCATTAAAGTATTGCCAGCCATGGTCTCTGCCTCTGTGGGTGGTGTTATAACACTACTTTTAAAGGTGTAGAGACTAGCACACCACAAACCATTATGTAGTATTCATATAATTTTCTGATCTCCTATTACTTTTGTTGCCGCAGTTGGAAAATTGTCATGTCTGGAAATCTTCCTCTCATTTAATTTTACCTTGCATCTTTTCTGTAGCTGGTGTGTGTGTTGTTATTATTAATTAGCTTGCAAACCAACCATTGTTTTAAAATCTATAGGTTTTTGTCATGTAAACTTTACTTTCGAATGCTTGACTAAATTTAAAGTGTAACATTTGTGGTTGAAACACAGGAAGGCTTAATAAAAGAGACTTTGCTGTGAGCAATATGAAGTTTTGATGTAAATTCTGAGCAACATTATGCTCATAAAATATGTTATTCTTCTTCTTCTATGGCACGACAGCCGAAGTCGAGCCTTGGCCTCCTTAAAATATGTTATTAGGTAAAGTAAAGTAAAGTTTGTCCCGCTACGTGCCATACGGGCACTTGGGGTGAGTGGAGGTTCCTCTCTTTCTTGACCTCGGCACTAGATGGGGTGATTGGTCAGCATCACGCCCCGGCCGGCTTTACCCCCGGGAAAGGACCTTGGTACCCATTGTATAGGAGGCTGGGTGGGCCCCAGAGCCGGTCTGGACGCAGAGGCTAGAGGAATAATTCTCTGCCCCCATCGGGGATCGAACACCGGTCGTCTAGCTCGTAGCTAGTCACTATACTGACTGAGCTATCCCGGCTCATATGTTATTAGGTGCAATAAATAAAATAGTCAAGGTACATTTTTTTTGTTAAATAGGTGTTGCTACAGTTGCGCAGCGAACGGCTTAATGCCCAAGGTGCTCCTGCATCATCAAGTGATGACTCTGAGAGTGAGGAAGAGCAGAGTGATGCTTCTGAGTCAGAACTCGACCTTGACAGCTATTATTTCCTGCAGGTATGGACAATCCAACCACTTACAGAATATTGCTACAGTAGTGTTCTGCAACCTTTCTTCACCTGCAGAACACCATACTTTGTCAAAGACATATGACAGCAAACAAAGAAATGATAATAATTGTCTTAAAAAGGGCGTACAAAACTGTACATGACTATAAATGTGTATGTGCATGTAAATATTTGCCCTATAAGAATGCCAGCATTTGAAAACAAACCATAAAACAGGCAACTCTCGGTTTACAAACATTCGCTATAATGAACGTCACAATTCATTCAAAATTTCTTAAAGTCGCCAATAGATAGTTCCTTATAAAACGAAATGCCAAACGTATAGTGAACATAAATGCAAGATTTAAATAAATAAACCTTTAAAAAATGTATATATTACAATACATACATTATAATAAAACGTACTGTATAGATCATTCGATGTTTAGTACATGGTTTTAATGCTTTAAAATGGCTGCTAACTTATACAATACGTATCGTAAAAGCTCAGGAATGCAAGATACACATAACGAAAAACGTCTTGGAATGGAACTTGTTCGTAAACCAAGAGTTGCCTGTACATGTTGAGTAAAACTATCGTCTCATCAACGATCTTCCGCCATCTATCTCTGTCTCGTGCCGCTACCTTCCAATTCCTGCATCTTAACACCCTTTCATCCTCCTCTACTCCATCAACCCATCTCCTCCAGGATTGCTGTCAATGATTAGTGTGTGTATTACAATTCTAATTGTGGAAGTAAGTTTCTGTCCTTTTATGATTACAACATGTGCCAAGAAACAATTTATTATAAAAATTCACAGCATGCCTGAAAGCTTGTGGTGGCCTATAAGGGAGTTTCTAATAATGTTTTTGAATCATAGCAGTGAAGTGAGTAGGCTATAGGAAAAGTATCTTATATTTTCTTAATGTTGTCATTTGAACTTTGTGCCTGTTGTAGGAAAGTCAAATTCTGTATACATGTTTATAAAATGAGCAAAGAAAAGTCTGTCATATCTTTAGTTCCTGAATTATTTGTTAGATTATGTTTAAATATCGAGGAAAAATCATGAAAAGACATCATTGTTGGTCTTCTGGGTTGTAACACTGTATGTGTAGATACAAATTTATAAATATGGCAAGTGTGAAAAACGTTTGTTATATCTGATCAGTGTAACATATGGACTAGCAGAAAATATGCTCAGAAATGGTATAATTATTAATTGTTAATTTTTGCTAGCCTTGTGGTTAAAATCGAATAATTTGAAGGAAAGTAGGCTTCAACTCTGATCTGGTCCGTAGGTGGTCTCAGAAAAAGGTACCTTTAGTCATACCACATAGATCAAACAAGTCCTTGTTAATTAACTGTAATTAAAACACTGAATTACAGGATTTAAAATTTGTGTGTATAGTGTGCCTTGCCCTAGGTAAAGAATTGTTCACCATTTAGACTTTCGGAAAATTGTAGAAAGGATCAGTTTTAGTTTATACAGCAAGTATTGTTGAACATTTTACTTGTAGGGAATAAACATTGCGTGGATGACGTAGTTCACAAAGTTTATATTAACTACATTGAATAGTATGAAAACCCCTTCAGAAGTAGCAGAAACAACTATGGATTGACAAGATATTCATATTAACTTACAGACTCCATGGAATAGAGTCCTTAAAAAGCTGGTTGTTACTTAACTCGTATAGTTTGTGAAAGCATAAGATTTGTCATGTTCACAAGAGCCCACTTTATCTTGAGCCAGTTTAATTTAATTTACCCCCTTGCATTCTCTTCATTTAAGATCTATTTTAAGATTGTCCCATCAGCTGTAATTGTTCATCCCAAACAGTCTTTTTCCTTGAGATTTCCCAACTAACATCTGCCATGTGTGCTGCGGAAGCCTCACAGGCATACACCGACAACCTCACACAGTATCCACAAAAGATATAAAGTACTTAGAACATTCACATAGATGACATTGATTACACAGCAGTGAAATATATATTGCTGTGAATGAAAACACATCATATATCATATGGTAGGGTTCTAATGCATTCCCACCAGGGCTGTGGAGTCGGAGTCGGTAAAAATTTACCGACTCCGACCTCAATATAAAATCTTAAGAACACTTTCGCTCCCCACTTAATGGTGCCTGCACCTTGTCGTGGTGGTGGGGCTTGAGTACCTCAGTGACCCCAAGAGCTATGCTGGCGGTAGCATTGCTACTGGTAGGGCCTCCCTAGCCAGATTGGTCGAGGGGGAGAGGTCAGACTAAGACAGGTACCCTGGTCCTCCAGGTTGGGGGTTGGTCGCAAGGCTAACAACCTTGCATTGTAAAAAAGAATAAAGTTGAGAATAATTTGATGAATGAAGCCGGACTGTCCTCACGAAGACGAACATTAGCTAGGAACAAGGATAAAAATTTGGTACTACATATTGGAACATGGAATGTGCGCACTCTGCTACAAGTAGGAGCGATGAATGGTATAGCTGATGAAATTATAAAATATAGAATGGAAATTGTCGCTATACAAGAAATTAGATGGAAAAATAAGGGAGTAATAAATAAGGCAAACTTCTCCATATATTATTCTGGGAAAGACGATAGGCAAGGAGAATGTGGAGTAGGATTTATTGTTACCAGGCAAATGCGTAAGGCTGTGCTGGCCTTTACGCCAGTAAGTGAAAGAATATGTACA